TATCGCATAATTAAACCACGGCCGATTGTCCACCGGTCTCGTAATAACCCACGTTTCCATCGGAATAACAATTTCGCGTTGGAAAAGTCGCCGTGGAAATTCGAGCTCGTTTTCCACTCGATTTTCGAGGTTGAATTTTCGTTCGTCTCTCGAACGATGAAACGTGGCGATACCTAGAGCGAGAGAGAGAGAGAGAGAGAGAGGATCGCGAGGCGCAACAGGCGAAGAGAGAGAGAAAGAGAGAGAGAGTGGATCACACGGTATCGATCGTCGATAGGGATCGATCCATCGTCTAGAATTTCACGGCTGTTTGTAATTAAAGGGTTCTCCGCTGTTGGAACAACGCGAAATTAACGGAGCGCCAGGAGTTAATTAACTCTTGCCACGTTTTGTCGATGATTATTGCATCTATAACACGGGCGAGAACTTTGGTCAGGTTATGAATTCTTTATTTTTAATTTTTCCTCCAGATCTTTTTCTTTTTTTCTTTTTTTTTTTTTTTGTTTTGTTTTTCGAAGTTTGAACGAATCGCCGTTTCGTTCAAGATTTTCTAACAGGTTGATTTTTTCCCGTTGTTTTCCCGAGTGAGCAAGCAGGAACAACAAAGAATTTGATCTTATTTAATTTTTTAGAAGTTCATCGACGCCGTATATGGGTTTATTAAGGAGCGGTCCGTAAAATTGGCTTGAATTGTTTATTTCTTTCAAATCATTTTTCATGATAAAAAATGAAAGATATACGCTACGATTGATTTAATTTTTTAATTTTGAAATTTTATTTTTGAATCTCCGCTTGAATTGAAATTAAACAATCATGATTATGCTCGTTAAATAAAGTAAAATTGCTGCAAAATTTAATTGTATTAACTAAAAATTGGCTGAATACCAGCAATTCTATTTGAAACTCGATTGAACTCTATTAAAATTAAAAATACTTTAAACCGCTGTAACTCTGAAAATAGTGATTTCCGGTCAACGAATAAAAGATCATTAGAAGCGCGGAACCTTGCTCTTTAAAATGCTTTTTCATTTATTTCGATATCACTTCCGGTTCCCGAGATATCATCGTGTGAAATAAAGGCTAATTTCTGATCGTTTACCTGAAACCGGATTAAATGTTATTAAAATTAGGAAAACTTTGAAATGCTATAACTCCGAAAATAATAACTTCCGGTCAACGAATCAAGGATTGTTAGAAGCGCGGAACCTTGCTCTTTAAAATGCTTTTTCATTTATTTCGATATCACTTCCGGTTCCCGAAATATTATTGTGTAAAGCAAAGGATAATTTTTAATCGTTTACCTTAAACATAACGAGATCCTATTAAAATTAGGAAAACTTTGAACCGCCATAACTCCGAAGATACTAACTTCCGGTGAACGAGTGAACGATCGTTGGAGCGCGGAACCTTGCCCTTTAAAATGCTTTTTCATTTATCCCGATATCACTTCCGGTTTCCGAGATATCATCGTGTAAAGCAAAAGGTAATTTTTAATCGTTCGCTATTTCTCTCTCTGTCTCTTATTCGGACCTCTCGCTCGCACCTCCTTTCACTGACCTACCTCAAATTCCAGACAAGCGACAGACGCGATTCCTGGAAAAACGTAGTACGCGCTTCTAAAATATATAGGTCAATAGATGGCGCCACCATTCATATTTTTAGCCCTATGTTAAGTACTATGGAAACTTTGAATCGTTATATCTCGGCAACCGATTGAGATATCGAAATAAATCAAAAAGTGACTTCAATGGCACGGTTTTCTCCATATTATGAGTGTATTTTAATGACAAAATTTTAAATTTTTTCCCATGTTTTTTGATGAATAGTTGAAGTTTCATTTTGCATTTTGTCGCATAAAATATATATCGAGGTAATGTAGCATATGTTTTACACTTTTCCGCATATTAATCGACTATTTCAACTAATAATTCCATAATTGCATAAAAATCTACAGTCTAATGATTATCATATTAATTACGAGTTAAATTATTCCCTTTCCTCAAAATGTTTTATTATCAATATTTCACTATATTCCTGTATATCTTTACTGTCAATGATTTATAAGAAAACCATGTAAAAATTCGGAACTTGTACTTAGACGAAATTCCACTTCTCATTTCCTTTTTTCCGTGTCCGTTTTTATACGGTTCATAAATGAGATGTTCAAATTTCAGAAGACTTGCTTGGGAAAATGGTTCAACGTCACTTTACAGCCAAATAAAAACCATCCAAGAAATGGTAAAAATAACGTGGAAAAGAGGTGTTCTATAAATTCTTTTTGTATAGGAGCTTGAAACGATAGAAAATCATGCGTGTAACTGTATTATCTATAAATAATTCTCAACCATTTCATAGATTTATATCCTATAAATAAAACGAAATTTCAAAAATTCCAATATCATCCAAGAGATATTTCGTATAGGAATTTAAAAGTGAAGAATTTCCCTTTTCAATCAAGTCGTTCCAACATATTCTGTTCCTATTGATTAAATTTTCGCATAAATATTCGCAATCCAATTATTATTTCTCACTCGATGCGCATATAACTGACATCTCATTCCTCGTGATTATAATTCATAAAAATCAATGCTCAAAGAAATATCGCTCGACTCGAGGAAGTCAGGTTCATAAAGTGGGGGAGGAAAGGAAGCACAGTGGTCAGAAGCTTGTTCCAGATGGAAGATTCTATCGAAGATCAAGGAAGGAAATAGAATTACGTTTCGGTGCAGCTGGCGTGACAAAAGCGACATAATGGCCGATGGAAAACCGGAGACATGCCCTAAGATCTTTGGATTATCGGTGCACCATCTTGTCCTTATATATGTAATTTCGCCTATTTACAAAATCGACTATCAGTGAAACAGTCTTGATGAGAAAATTCGATTTCGAATCAAGATAGAAATCATTTTGATTTGATGAGAGGAATGAATTTTGATTCATTGACTTAATCCTTTCGCTGCACACGTATGAATTTGCCAATTTCATGCAAAATCTTCATTAAAATTTGAATTTTTAGAAAGGATTAGAATTTTGAATGGAATTATTTCATAAAATTTTCGATGCTTTGGTGCTTCATTGAAAATAATAATTTTGAAATATGTATGAGAATTTAACAGATATATAAATGAAAGAATAATAATTATAAATTTTGAAACTGGCGAACACGAGTATTTTGTTTGAAGAAAAAATAAAGTTACTTACGTAAAATTTTAAATATTCCATGCTTATTCATAAAATAAATATTGGATTTTTTCCCAATATATGATTTTTCAAATATATATCATTCAATGTTTAACCACTTAATAATATTTTTAATGAAAGTTCCAAATGGAGTGGAAGAAAATTCTAACTTGATAGTAAAACAAAATGATCATGGAAATTAGTAATTAATCTAACATTTCAACCGAAAATTAATTATTTCATTAAATGAAATTTTTTAAATCGAACATTAAAAGAAATAAATGGAATGATGTAAACAGCAAATTCTTGAAACAGATAGTCAAGGTATGTTGAACATTTAGAGCTGACCATACTATGTTGGAATTTCTTAATTGAATACATCATGTGCATCGAATTCCTATGAATATTATATTTATACACGTGAAACTTAAATTAATAATATTAATTAAGAAATTAAAAAACAAATATATATTAATATATGCATAATCGTCTTGTTACCTTTATTTTTCTTCTTCTCTCTTTATTTTTTCTTCATTCCATGCCTTTCCACTTCCACTTAAATAAATAAATAATTTTCATAATCAATTGAACAATATCTTCTTCCAATCCCTTTTAATCTATTTCCCACTCCATCTTATTTTTATCTATCGAGTTAGACGATTACCATGCTTTCAGAATATTGCTAATCGAAAATTCGTAATTGGATCTCGGTGGAGGCCGATTGTAAGAACGCATAAGGGAATAACGAAATCTTGGGAAGATTCGTTTTTGCATTCGATCGATTTCCTTCGTTTTGCAATCGACTTACGAAAATTCGGGCAATAGGATTCGGATAAAAGTGGATGGAAGCTTCGAAGATAGTTTACATTATTAAACAAGGAGATATCTTTCTTCTGGAGAAATAATTAACATTGAAAAATAAAAAAAGAAAAAAAAAAGAAGAAGGAAAAAGAAAGCTTTGAAAGATTATTAAAATTATTCGATCCGATTAATTTATTATTTTTGTTTCTTATTTAAAACTTGATTAATGATTCGTATGTTGTACATTTTTGATATAATATTCTTAATAATGAAATTTCGACTTCAATTCTGCGCAAATAAAAATTAAACTGTAATTGAAATCCATTGTTGAAAACATTTGCAAGTTGTACGAATACGAGGACAGAGAAAGATATCTGAATTGCAGCAAAGTTGGATAAATTAATTGTATTATACAAAATCTAAAAATTTAATATCTGCGTTACGATGTTCGATTCCGTTTGACATATTGTACAAACTATCTTTACAATATATTCCATGATAAAAAATATCCAATTGTATTTCCCTTACGAGCTGTTCAATTTCCAAGATTAAATTCGAAACGAAGACAATCTCTTAAAAATTGCTTCCAATTGTTCCATCGATTCTTTTCATTTAAATATATATATATATACATATTCCTGGCTCCGATTTTCTCTCAAATGGATAAGGATTTTTACCAGAAATAAAAATCTAATCGTTACGCCCCATCCTACTACCAACTTTATATTTATCCATCCCCTGAAATTTTAAATCTGAAAATTCTTTATGAAAATACAAAGTAAAAATAAAGTAAAAATTTTGAAAGTATATATCTTTTCGACTCGATCAAAGTCTATTGGATGAATTTGCTACTACAATATATATATATATATATATATATATATATGATAATATAATTGGAGATGATTTTAATGCAGAGGCATCGATCCTGTATAATTAAGCCTGTCTAAAATATTATGGTATTAAGAGCAATATGGCATGCAATTTATATATATATATATAGAATATATAGAACTCACCATTAATAACATGCACGTTGACGCTGGCTCTCTCCGCCACAGTGGGCACGCAACTGTAGTTTCCAGAGTCGCTTAGCTTTGCATGGGTGATCCTCAATCTGTAACAAAACGAAAAGACCGATATTAGATCGAAAGCATAACCGACTGTTATTCCTGTAAATTTTTTTAATTATCCGTAATTAAAAACATATTTTTTTTTCCATCGTTTGCGCCAAAGATACGTATCTATAAGTTTATTCTCTTCAACTTTTTGAAATAATTGGCGTCTCAAAAAAAATCAATATTTTTCCACTTTTTTTACTTAGAAAATTTATAAATAACAATGTTTAAGAATACGTTAAAATTAATTGTATTTCCAGAGAGAAGTAAAATTAAAATATTATCAGAATTCTTGAAATTACGTTATGATTTTTAGATATTAAACGTCAAATGTAAATAAGTGGCCGTCATCTTTGGACGGAATAATCGATATTCCGCGAAATATGAAATTATTACCACCATTTCCTCAAAATATCCCGATCCCCAATGTCGGGATCAAGCAAACAACAGGGTCGTATAATTCGACTGTCATCATGTCCCATTTAATCGTTTCGGGGCACCGAAACGCGAAAACACGTCAGACGCATAAATTTGGCCTAACAATTGCCCCCGAATGATAGAAATGGCTTTAATTTCGCGAGTGGTTATCGATACGCGGTTCCGGTATAAGGGCTGTATGAAATAATTCACGTCGAAATTAATAATGAAGCAACGATGATCTAACGGCTATTAATTGCCGGTTAATACCACTTGCGGTATCATGAATTCTCTCTTCACCGCTTTATCGTTTAAGGGGAGGAGGAGGGGGTGAGGGAAAAATATAAGCGTTCCGTGATTCAATTTCAACCGGGCGTTCATCAATCGAAACTTTAATTACTTCATAGTAATTCATTAATACGAATTACCGTAATTACTATTAAAAAGCCACTGGCTAAGTATTTCACACTTCACACTTCAGATTTAGAAATAAATTGTGGATAAAATATATAACAAATGTTTTCTGTTCCCGAACGATAAATTTAGAAATGTTTATGATTTCTAAAGCGAATAATTTACAGTAAATTTTTTTAATTACAAGTCGAATTATGAGAATATTCTTTCTTTCTTTCTTTCCTTCGTTTTTGATTTCTTTGATTGAAATTTCTTGTATTTAATTATCTTTAATAATGACGGATTGGAATTAGAATTATGTAATTTTTTTTTCCCAAATAGAATTCTTGTTAATGTTACCGTGTTCAATTATTTTTAATAGTTATAAACAGGGAATTTGAATTATATTGTCTGTATTTTTAAATGAGGTGTCTTGATTGAAATTTATATTAAGAAATTCTCATTTATCGTTGAAATTTATGGCTGTGCATCGAGGTAAATATTTGTATGAAATTTAATTTACATTTATTATACGTAGACTAATTAAACAATCTGGAAATTAATTTTCTGCAATATTAAATTATTTAATATGAAATTGTATTTTAATCTAGAAATGTATGTCATTCGAAATTTCAAATAATGGCTTAAAAAAAATTCCAGAAATCAAAATTTAATGTTAAAATTTTATTTTCTGACGAACTGAATACTCTTTGAAAGACAAACAATTTTGAATATTCTAAGAATATTTTATTTTTGTGAATAAACATTCTGTTATTTGAGAAATTATGATAATTTTCAAAAAAACGTACCACGCATAAATAAATATACAGATACAAAAATTAATTTTCATTACATTCGATCAACTTTATATTTTATTATATTTAATTAAAGGAGGATCGGTTATCAATAAAATATATCTCCAACGAGAAACATTTTATCGAGTAAATATAATTAGAATTACTTCCATTTAATTACAATTATTAATAACCAACAAAATTAATTATTAATAAAATATCGTGTTTAACAATTCAATTAATAACATGAATCATTGAATAGGATAATAGTGACTGCATATTTCATTTAATATTTTACTATTTTCTGTTCTACATTATTTTAATTACTTTAACACTTTATGTTAAATCAAAATATAGAATAAAATAGAATATATTCTTAATATTTCTCCCTAATATTTTGCATATGATTGTATCTATCTATTTCTAATTTAGCAACTTTAATAACCATCATTGCAGATTTTTATAAAGTTCAACAAGCATTAATTCTTCTATTTTATTATAATCGATAATTATTTTTCCAAGATTAAATCAATTATATGTTACACCAAATTTTCAACGACACTTAATCCCAACGATCAGCAACCAGAGATAAAAATCTCTTCAGACGCTATTATATACCATTTTCAGAAACAGTGGATATATATCAGATATCATAGACAAGCGTCGTAAAATAAATCCTATAATCGTGTTCATCTAAGAGTATTATCCAAGAGATAGTGTACATCATTCTTTTCAACTCGTGATAATAACCCCAAATACTTCTCTTCTCTGGTGCAACATAATGTTTGGTACACATTGACGTTAGGGGAGCAACGTGTCGGTTGTAAGTAAAATAAATAGTCCTCTTGGGAGGGATGCTGTTTCAGTCACGAAAAACATTTTCGTATTTTTGTATTTCCTTCTAAGTAATGACGATTGGAAATTGGTTGGAAAGTTTGTTGACGTTTACTCATTTCGAAAATTCTTAAAGATTTAATTACAAAATTGTACAAGTATTGAATTTTGTTATTAATACAATTTTACAAATTTCAATTCGCAAAATAATAACACTTTTTATATTTTATTTCACAATGTATGAATTTATTGTGAAATAAATTAATTATTGATTAATCTCTGATGGATCAAAATGGATCTGTATTGACTATCTAATTATTAAGATTTGAACAGTGATTAATATTTTTATCTAAAAATATGTAAAATTATTATTCTCAACTCTTTCTCTTCGAATCAAATGAAGTTTTCATAAATAGATGAAAAAAATTCATCTCTAAATTATCCTTACGATGTGAAAATTGGATTATAAATCAATTCGAGGATCGTTTACGATTTCAAAAGTTTCTTGACGATGATTTCCATCTCTATAAATCGGAAATAAGCTGAAAATAATAACGAAAATCGTCTTTCTGCAACGATCGAAATCGGTTGAACGTTGTTCCAATAAATTTTCGAATCGATGGAAATAATTTCACGTCAGATGCACCAGTCGTAGGACAATAGGACTCGTAAAGAAGTTCTGACAACTTTGTCTCAATAGATTATTGATTAATCATTTATTCGCCGTATTTTAGCAGTTAGTTTCATCGTATGGCACGTTAACGTATTGCACCCCTGAGGGTAATGACGATCGTTTAAGGGATATATAATGGTGTCAATGTAATAGTTCGAAGCCAATGCACCTGAACTCTGAATTTATCACAGAGCCTTAATGTTTTTTTTTCTTTTTAATTAATAATTTAAGCTTTGAGATTTAGCCTTTCTAATCTATAATAATATCTTCTACAACAAATTTAGATCTTTATTGAAGATATTATTAAGTTAAATAATAATAATATCGTTATTATTGTGATATAAAGGAATGCATGAAAATTCGTTTAGATTTAGTTTAGAACTAATTTTAAAAATTAATGTCTTTCAAAATTACAACAAATATATTTTATCAAAGAAACACTGATATAATCATTCATCGATTTTCAATAACTGGAAATAAGAAAACTGTACAATCTTTAAACCTTATATTCAAGTTTGGATTGTAGTTCATGGATGAAATACTCTGCAGAAGGTTGGAGGTGAGAAACAAGGATATTTGGACCGAGTGCTTTATTGTTGGTGTGAATGAAAAGTGCATCAGCCACTCGAGATTTCCAACGTGCCTGAATATCTCCTAGGAATGTCTGAATCAAATGAAAGAAACAGAAAAATAGAAAGGAAAAGAAAGAAGAAAGGAAAAACAAAAAATGTGCTGATATATAGATAAATAGTTACACTTTTGATATACAGCTTGTCTATTGTGATTAAAATTATAAATTTATAATTTCAAAAATTAATATTTAATTTTTTTTCCCAAAAAAGTATCCCATTATCTAATCCAATCCAAACTATATTCAACAGTTTATATTTCCTTTTAAAAGAACACAATCATCACATCTTCTGCCTTTCTTTCTTCTCTCAATATTCAATACTCAATAAGATCTTTTTGTTTCTTTTAAAACAAAACATCACAATACCAAGAGACTTCTACATAATTTTTCCTATATAATTATTCATATTCAAACACCTTTGACATCACAGTTTTAATTCAAACTCAACAACGACATTCGAGTACCTTTTCCTTTTCCAGTATCAAATTCAATACAAAATCTTTTTCTTTCTTTCAAAAAACACAAAACATCAGAATACCAAGAGACTTTTACATAATTTTTCCTATATAATTATTCATATTCAAACACCTTTGAAATCACAGTTTTAATTCAAACTCAACAACGACATTCGAGTACCTTTTCCTTTTCCAGTATCAAATTCAATACAAAATCTTTTTCTTTCTTTCAAAAAACACAAAACATCCAAGAAGAAGAATACCAAGAGACTTCTACATAATTTTTTTATTATTCACACTCAAACACCTTTGACATCACAATTTTTAATTCAAACTCAACAACGATATTCGACCTTTTTCTTTTCCAGTATCAAATTCAAGATTAATTTATCCTCCCATTTACCTTATGCATACAGTTCCACCACGTGGCACAATATTCTACCGGTCCTCCAACTATGGAGGAGCCCAGTCCTTTGTCAGGCGGCCTATGCACCGTGAAGACGCATCGGGCATGCTCTGCATTTCTACGCCCTTGTCAGCCCTGCCGTTTGTGCGTCGCGGGAATATTGCACCCGTGCTGCGTCTGTTTTTGGACGTGATTGACGATTGTCAGTCTCGCTGTTTCACACCGACGAATTTACGAGGGTCCACTCTCTCTCCGGAATCAGAGAATCTCTCAAGAACCAGGAATTAATCGCCATTGCGCGTGTCATCTTTGGAAGAGGAATCTCTGGATCAGGAATTGTCATCGAGATATTAACGCGATATCGGTTCAATCAATGGCGGTAATTTTGATGGATGGCTTCGAAGATGGCGCCACGATCAATCTTTAGCACGATAAAGATGCAGATATTGACGAAAGAATTTTGGAAATTATTCTTTTTAAACGTAGCTACAATTCTCTGTTAATTTTGTTAACAGATGATAATAATTTATAATTTTAAACATATTTGATAAGCAAGGATCGTTAATATATTCCATGTTGTAAAAAGAGAATGAGACTATTTATGGAAAATTTATTTAATTAAATCCAAGAAATTAGAGTAGAATAGAAACTTTCTTTTTTTTTTTTTTGGAAGATAGTTTGTTCGATAGAAAATTGCGACGAGTTTATTAAACGTATTATTTTTTTTATACGTTGTAATAAGATGTTTCATAAATTTTATAGATTTCTAATATAGAAATACAGAGATTATTGTTTTATTCCGAGAATTCGTGGGCGTAATATGGAGTTGTAATTTATACGTTTGACAGAGTAATGTGTTAATTAAGGATTTCAGTTTCAGGATATATGATCGTATACGAGAGTATAGAAATTGAATTTTGTGAAATGAATATAGATATTTTGCTTCGCCTTTCATTATTCATTGTTCATTGTAATTTATGCGTTTCACGAAATAATTTGTTAATTAAGGATTCTAGGTTTCGATAGACGTTGATTGTGGATGTAAGCGTCAAGATTGAATTTTCCATGAATGTAAATTGTTCTACTTCTATTCTATTAATTCACAGGCGTGCGCGATAATATCTTCAAATGTGTACGTAACTGTGTACGTACAATCAATCTCAAATATATCGTGTTGAAGTTTCCAAATTCAAATTTCGATAATAACTGGCACGAAAACGTCAAATAAACGTAAAGTTGTAATCCCCGCGATATTAAATATTCAACAAATGTATACGAAAATATATATATATATATTTTATCATTGGTAAAATAAATTTTCAAATTAACCAAATCACTTAAAATTATTTATCATGAAGAAATATCGAAATAAAATGTATCGATTGATATTTTTTCCCTTTTAAATTTTAATATTTATGTAAATTAAATAAATTTATATTTAGCACGATGAATAATATACGCGTGAAATATACACACATTTTTCGAGAGTTGGCCCAAATGATCAGATTACGTGTCCCATGCATTAGTGCGTTGAATAATAACTGTAGTTTCGATAAGTAATTTCGAATGTATGGACAGGGATTTGGTTTAATATAAACACGTTGGTTGTTTGCTTCTAGTTTTCAGATTGAAACCTGCTCTCAATCTTGATAACACGTTGATCAATAATTAATTTTTGAATTGTTCGACGCAGATAGATAGAGATTTTAAATAATATCAGATTGTTTCTGATTTTCGAAATTGATCCCCCTGTTTAATTAATAACAATTTAATACAAATTTAATCAATATGATTAAAAACTTGATTATTTCTAAATCTTTACAAAATTAAACGTTTAATCATATAAATTTCCCTTTGTTGAATATATTTTTTCCAATAATCGATTCTTATCGTTTTAAATTAATATTATATATTTATCTTCTCTTCGATAACATCGTTCGTTTGTCGTTCTCTCTATATCCCGAAATAATCCTGAATAAATCGTAAGAAAAATGGAGAAATAAGCTCACCTTGACGTGAGGGCGTCGCTCCACTCGGTTTCGACCGTGATGCGGGGCTCGCCGTTCACGTCGTTCTCCGAATGAGGCGACGTAACTATTGGCTGGCTACCATGGTACCAAGCCACTGTGCCAAGGTCGTGAGGCCCTTGAGACATGAGGCAGGTGAGGATGAGAAGACTGCCGGTTTTCACGTAAATATCCGCTTGCCCGTTTATTCTGGCTCGTGCCTCTGCAAATAAAAATATATATCTTTATATTAGCTTACGTTCAATCATTTACTTCGTTCCTATAATATTAACAAATTTCTTCCCTCTTATTATAATATTCCTTTGGATAAAAACGAACGTACGTTCATTCCACGTTACGCAATTTCTACGTACAAATAATTTATAAATAATTTGAATGTACTTTATTATCACTTTATTATTCAAAAAATAAAACAGATTTCTTTAAGTCACGTTGATAAAAGAAATTTTATATTCGAGGTAAAAATTTCTATTCCGTAATAATAGACTCACCCTGTAAACACAAATAAATAATTAACAGAAAAAGCATTTACATCGAATTCAAATTTAAATCGCTGCAATCCACGTGTTTCGATGTGATCTGATGCAACGAGGAAATTTCTTTTACAACAGCGGTTAGATACAGCCGTGAAGAAGTCGGGATACGAGGCGTGTCAAATAGTCGCTAAACGCCGTTTCCCAACCTGTGTCAATTTTAGAGGCTATTATCCCGATATCCGTTCCCGATAAATTATTCATATCGCGAGGAAATCGCGTGGTGTATAAGCAGCGAGCGTTCAGCTATCCTGGGGATTCAGTTCGACCTACTTTCTGATTAGCACGCGAATGTTTCCTCGGCGCTGTGCATTTATAATGACCGAGCTGGTAATTATGTGCGAGCGAAATTGTCGCCGAAACGGAGAGAACGAGAGGATAAACTTCGCTGAAACATGCGCCGGTTATTAAATCGTTTAAAATTGTATTTCCAATATATATGTATGAAATTTTGGCTATATATATATATATATATATATATGGGATTAAAAGGATCGACATAAATTATTAAATAGTTTTGAATATCCACGATGATTAAAGGAGAGGTCTCGCTTTTTCAATTTTTTACGATGTATCTTTTTTTTTTATTCGAACAAAAGATATATTTTTCTAAAAAAATGTTCTTTAAAATCTATGTACAATTTGATACGAGTGTTCTTATTAGAGAGGAATAAAATGGGAGGAGGGGGGAATGTTACGGTTGAAAAATGATCAATATTAGATGAATATACATAACTGTAAAATTTGCAAAAATAATATTAAAAAAAGTCTAAAATTTTTGAAGTATATATTTAACGAAAACTCACGACTTTCTAAAACCATTTTCTAAAAATAATCACGATAAATCTTTAAATATAATTTTCACAGACGATTACGAATCTTCAGTTTTTCTATGTAAAACCGCTTTTCGTTTCTTTTTCTTCCCCCCCTCTTCTTTCTTTCTTTCTTTTTCCTTTATCTTTTTTTCTGTTTTTAATATTCATCAATTTCACTATGACGAGCAAAAGGTCCTATCAGGCAACAGTTCAATGACTTCGAGCGAACAGAAAGAAGAATGTGTCTAGTCACCGTTGATGCATCAAATTCGTGCAAGAATAACGGACATATGATTCACGCCCGTTCCAGCATCGAGGGGGATTGTGGATATCGATTTTCGCTTTGAATTTCAACGTGTTCCGTTAATACCACAATTTTTGCGCACTGATATTTCCTCGTATATTGTTCGGTATCACGGAACATTGTCCTGGTTAATTTGTCGATAAGCTATTGTGCTGTTATTTTTTATTTTTTTTTTTTTAATTTAAATTTAAAAACTGTATAATCCTTTAATCTTTGATAAAATCGGATTAAAAATATGATTTTTTGATTTTTTCCCGATACTAGAAACGAGTCATTCCAACGTTGAATTATTGTTGTTTGAAAATATAAAAATGAAGATAAATTTATGGTCGAAAAAATCTGGCCAATTTTGTAAGACAATTATATAGAATTATTTACATTATTTAGATAAATTAATCCAAAGTGAATTTTTTATAAAAAACATTTTATAAATTTACAAAAAGAAATTATTAAAATATTACAACCTATTCTCTTTGACAGAGTAAATTAGATTAAAAGTGAAACAGGTTTCAGCAACTTTTAAAGAACTCAAATTTTAAATTTTTTAATATCACCATAAAAACCGTAAATTATCTATCAAGTCTCAAAAATAAGAAAAAAAAAAAGAATTAATATTATATCGAATATTATATCACCAATTTGAACTTTTACAAAAGTTTACATAAAAAAATATCAACGCCAAGCGAAAAGAGAAAATAAAAAAGAAAAAAACCAAAATTTCAAATCCTTTTTATGTATCAAATCCTGTCTGTATCCGAAAATATTCCGGTAAATATCGGGGAACAAACATTGGAAGGTATCTAGTCGAAAGCTTTTGAACGAGCGACATCCCCTTCCTGGATATCTCTCTGGATAGACGGGGGAAGGGGTTAAGAGAGAATACGTGTTCATCGATCGAACGTTCTGCCAAGATGTTCCCTCGTTTATCATCGTGGCCGAAGAGGACGATGGTATCGCGGAACTCGCGATTACACGAATAATCGCTCGATACGCGCGTATGGGGACGTTCTGCTATCTGACAAAAGCTGATCTGATAAAAAGATCTCGTTGGATTTATTGCCGTGATTCGTGACGCGTTATGCTGATACGCGTAGCATCCGAAAGAAGAAAAAAAAAAAAAAAGTATCGCAAGTCGCGAAGTAATTCGATTTAATTCGTCTTACGCGTAGATTTGCAGCCGAGAGAAATAAATGAATAATTTATTGATTTTCGATTCGAAGTATTGTCGAATTACTTGGATTGGAAGGTAATTTGAAACGAGTAATAATTTGTATTTTATTTGAAACATTCTTTCAAATGGAAGGGGTGGTTAATTTCAAGTTGGTTTGATTAATTTTTTTTTGACAGAGATGGAAAAAGTTTCATTGGCTATTCAGTAGGATTATAAAAAAATGAATTTATCGAAACTTTTCATACGATTAATATTATAATATTTCATTTTGTAATCAATTTTAATATTGAAAGAAGAACTTTGTATTATAAATGTATTAAATTTAAAACATTTAAAATAATATAATGGAAAAAATATTAATATTTTATTGGACCTCCAAGAATAGTTAGAATTTTCGTTTAAATTTGCCAAATTTTCTTCTAATTCGATATATCTCTATCATATTTAATCGAATCACGAAAAGTTATGGATGTTTGGAATTATTATGAATCTTTCAATTTCAACAAAAAGAAAAGAAAAATGTTTAATACAATTACGATTCTAATTTAACATTCAAGAATTAATAAAATAGTTCGATTAAATAGAAATTTCATCGAAAAAAATATATTTACATATCGATTAAAATTCGATCGTAAAAACACGTTCTTCCGCGTCGGGCAGGAAATGCGCGCGGCAAAGTTTATTTTGTTTAAACAAGCGTCAGATGAATTTAATTGGTCGTCGAGATCGAAAAGTGAAATGATGAAAAATTGGAATTGGAAATCAGTCGGTGGAACGTGTACGTGCACCATTTCGAATCGGGAATGAAATAAAGGAATATGAATTTCCACCCTCACTTTTCGATTTCGTCACTGATTCGTATTTCTCTGATGGACAAAGGATCATTTATTTCATTGGTGGCCTTTTGTTAAGGACAAATTGTGACATGGGCATAAACAAATACCGGGTTATTGGAAAAAAAAAAAAAAGGAAAAAAAATACAAGTACAAAAGATTGTACGACAGAAATCGAGGGATGAAAAATAACGTTATGCGTCTATCGCGGTAAATTGTAGGAATGCGCTTTACAATAGAGTTACGAGATAAACAATTAAACAACATTCGTCCTGAATGAACGAATTAATTTCACGAAATAAAGTACGAATTAATTTATTTAAGTAATTTAGTCGGTATAACGGCTGTACGATTATTGATACGTCAACAATATACAGTAATACGCTGCATTATATGCTTGAATAATTAACAAAATAAATCAAAGTGAAATTTATCGAATATACTTCTGTATAATAATAGATAAATAATCTTGGTGTTCTACAATTGATACGAAATAAAGATAATAGTGAATTTTCAGAAATTATATTCATAATATCTTTGATTTTCTTTCTTCATTTTTCCATCTCATTCTCCTTCTCCTTTAAATAACATTTTAATGTAGACACATTAGAAGTTCGAATATTAAATATCATCGTACATCATTCGTACACAACGAAAGAACGTGGTAAATTCTATTTCCGCGCATGGATAAAAGTTATTGGGAAAATGATGAGAAAATTTGGAGATAAAGGATTATTAAATTTTTCAATTGCACCTTTATCGTTGAAAAATATCGGATATCTTTTAAAAGATTCTGTACCATAAGGACAAAACGACGAAACGTTGGTTGGGAGTTAAATTCATCTGCGTTCATCTGCTGCAGAAGATTGCTCATTTTAATCTCGATTATCGTCCGTGGAATATTTTAGAAGAAAAGATTTCGACATAATATCGAGATATTGAAAGCAATTGTTTCGCTAAAAATCGTGAAAGTTATATATACTTTAGTCATAAGCGCAGTGAATATGAAGATAATCACAATCATAGCTTCGAGAATTTTTGCAGTACGTATCTTTCGAATAAGAATTTGAATAAAAATTCTAAATTAATCTTTTGCACTATTTTTATGCGTTACCCCTTGGACTTATTTTGCTAATTTCCAAATTATCAAAAGTAAATCTACATGAATTTTTCTGAAACACAAATAATTTCAATCAAGTAATCCTGTTGGGACGTCAAAGTAAAAGTGATAATTAATATTGAATACTCGATAAAAAGAAAAAAATCTGAGGATGGCACGCAAGAAATCATGCGTGTATATCGTCCCTCATCCGAATGGAAAGTAGAAAATCCATTAATGCACCCTGCAATCGGAGATAAGAAACGAACGATTTGTTCGAATGTAAATTGCAAGATCCATCGAGATGAAGGAATCGTAGGCGGGGAGGTGATGGAAGATTCTTTTCCCCCCCTCAACCCCACCAAATCGGTTTAATCTACGTTTAATGCGCGTTTTTATGGGATCGTTCACGCTTAACCGATGTTCGAGATGCGGGATTATGAAAGT